CCCCCTTCCCTTTGCTCTCCCATGTCTCCCTAACTCCCTCTTTTCTCTACTTACCACACCACGCGTATTTGAACCCGCGGGAGTAGGGCAAAGACTAAGGGAGGGAGAGAGAGAGAAGGTAAGCGGAGGGGTCTATTCATAAACTGCTCAGGCTTCACCAATTAATTAAGAACGGTGTGTTGGGTGGGGGCGGGGAGTTCCAGCTGGGTGGAGGGACCCCCCTCCCCCCCCCTTCCTTTCCCCCGCCCGACCTGTCTAGTCTAGACTTTTTATGACGAGTCTCCAACTACAACGTGAGGGGCGACGATACCCCCTCTTTGCTCCTACCCCACAAGTCCTTCATCACGAGTGTAACGTGCTGACTGAAGGCGGCGAAAGATGGATCGGAAAGCAAATTAATTGTGTCAATGAGCTTTGAATCATGTCACTTGTGTTAGTATGCGACTTGCCGTCGCTTTGCGTCATTAAAAGTAAAGCGACATCCACAGTGTTCGAATATTACAGGCAGTATGCTGAAAAGGCGAAGAGGGTGAACTGTAAAATCAAATGAGATGTTCTTCGAAGAAACACACACTAAAAGCTTATGAACATTTTTATTCCTAGCTTACTGAGTTCTGTGTACTTGCCTTACGCATTTTTGAATACGCCGGGTATGAACAAATGCGTAAGAAGAGCACGTACACAGAACTCAGTAGGCTATGAATAAAAATGTTCATAAGCTTTGAGTGCGAGCCATTATGTGCCTACAACAACATAAATGTACTATACTAAAAAAGAATATACCGCCGATAACAGAACAAAAACAGACGAAAGTGAAACAAAAAGGAAGAAGCTTCGGCTTAAGAGGGCCTGTGACGTCTGTCCCTCCAATGTACCCCTATACCCGGCGTTCCTCTGGTTACACGCGCTCCGTTCGTTTTTGCGATCGAAGTGCATCGCCCTTGACGGCCGCCAAAGAGAGGGAGAGGGAGAGGGAGAGAGAGGGAGGGAGAGAGAGGGAGAGAGAGGGAGAGAGAGGGAGACGGAGGGAGGGGGAGGGAGAGGGATGGAGAGGGAGGGAGAGGGAGAAGGAGAGGGAGAGAGGGGAGAGGGAGAGAGAGGGAGAGAGAGAAGGAGAGAGGGAGAGAGAGAAGGAGAGAGGGAGAGAGAGGGGGGGAGAGAGGGGGGGAGAGAGGGGGAGAGAGAAGAAGAGAGAGGGAGAGGGAGAGAGGGGGAGAGAGAGGAAGAGAGAGGGAGAGGGAGAGAGGGGGAAGGGGGTGGGGATGCCCCGTCCCGATTGCTTTTTTGTATCGAAATCAAGTGTGCGGGTTGAGAAGGGGGGAACCCCCCAGGATGTTGGTGGGCGACTGAGAATTGGAGGCGTGGAGAAGGGAGGGGGGTGGGTGTTGGGAGGGGTCTGAATGGACAGCCTGTTTGACCAAGAAAAAGAGGCTGGCGGCTGGGGCGGGGCGAGTCATACCGGTCAAGTCAAAGGGCGGGCGGCCGCGTTGTGCTCCGCACTCTCCCGGCCGGGGGCCCGCCCGTCACGCTTCGCGAACACCAAAAGAGACTCTGCCTCCCCATTTAACAACACAACCAAGCCCGTGGCGGCGGGGGCCGGGGTGCGCATGCCTTATTCAAACCTCAAAAATGTTACAGGGCCCATAGAATTATCTAACTGGCGCTGGTGTAGCCGGCATAGGCAGAGCTGAGGGCGCGCAGGGTGGCCGCCTGGTGGGTAGGCCACCGGGGCGCACGGGTGCACACAAGCGCCGCGGTGGCCTGCCCATCAGGAGCCCGGGGCAGGGGGCGCGCGCGCTGGCAGCCACCACCTCGAAGACGGCTCAGGAGGGCCCACCGTGTGCGGTAATGGTCCATTCTGCGCCGAGCAGAGCGCGCCGCCGACGGCCCAGCGAGCGGCCGCTGAGCACCCGCCCGGGGCGCGCGCCCCCGGGGCCGCGGGGCAGAGGAGGGGCGTCGAGTTTAATGCGCGTTTAATGTTACACGGGCCGGCGGAACCTTTGTTTGGATTACACCCGCGCCCACCGGGCGTGTTGG